GAAGGGCAATAAGGCTTGTGAAGGGTTTGGAGAATATTCCCTACAAGGAGCAACTGAAGGAGATGGGGTGAGACCTTACTGGTCTCTTCAAATACTTGAAAGGTGCTTACGGCAAGAGCAGGGTTGGTCTCTTCTCCCTGATGACAGGTGACAGGACAAGGACAAATGGTCTTAAGTTGCTCCAAGGCAAGTTCAGGTTGGATAACAGAAAACACTTCTTTACAGAAAGGGTTCTTAAGCTCTGGAATAGGTTCCCCAGGGAGACGTTTGAGCCATCATCCCTGGGTGTGTTTAAAAACTGTTTGGATGTGGTGCTCAGAGACAACATTTAGCAGAGAGTTGTTAGGGTAGTATGGTTATGTTGTGGTTGGACTCGATCTCTAACATCTTTTCCAACCTGGGTGACTCAATGATTCTCTCTCTGACCTGAGTGAATGTTTCCTGGCTGTTGTGTTGAAATGGGGAGCAAATTGAGCAACCTTTTAGGTAAGCAGTGATTCATCAGGTAGTTGCTTTTGTGTAATCAGCAAATTAAATGAGTTTAAAGTAAGGCCATTACTGAAGACAAGAGATCTCATAATAACTTTTATGAAAAAAAGTGAAAAATGAGAAAACTGTCACAAATTGTAAGAGTTAAATCTTATTAATCTTTTTTATTATTTCTTACACATTCATACATGTGCTTTTAAGCTTGGTCTTAATTATGGGATTTAATTGTTTTCCTGAATTATAGCAACCAGTAGTTATTTCTAAAACAGATTCAATGTTAGGTTCTTAGAATAAATGTTTTAAGGACGTATTTGTACCTATAGCTGTTGAAATTCTGCTTTGTTGGAAGTGCTTTTATAAGCTAATATCCTAGATGTAATTTACTTACTTTAAATTGCAGTGGCTATGGTCTTTACTTCAAAAAATATTATACTGAACACAAAATTAGGTTTTTATTTTTTTTACGTCATGCTGTAATGTTATAATGCAATGGAAAGTACAGCAATGCTAGCTGGGTAGCAAAGTCCTAGGCTGTAGCAAGTGAGGGCAAGACAAAATGCAGCAGCCATAGACACAGAAGCAAAGGACAAAAGCTGCTTACTTTTGGAATGTATGCAGAGATGTACAACAAGATACCCTGATACACTGTCAACCTTTATGTGAGGTCTGGGAAGGGGTGGATCCTGACTCCACCCCTTCTGCTCACTCAGGTACATTGCATGCACCTGAGCTGCCCTGAGTTGGCCCTGCCTTCCCACCTGCTTGCTCAATTACTGGTTCAGGCTGTGACTTAGGATTTCTGCTATTCACGCCGAACTAAATTAGAAGGGATTTTACTCAAAAATAATGATTTTTAAAGATGTTGTAATTTTTAATTGACAATCAGGCTATCAGTGTTTGAAATTCAGTAACTTTGCATTTAGAGAAAGTCAAAATAAACTGAGGAGTGAAATGTAAATCTGAGTGTGTATACAAGCATGGGTTGTACAAGAGAGTCAATATATATATTTAAAATAGACAAATATTTTATATTGTTCTGTAGGCATTCAATATTTTCTCTACATGATATTTTAAAATCTTTGGACACTTTTATAATTTCAGCTGTTGTAGATACAATTTTCAGTAGCTTCTGCTACCTGGTGCTTAGGAGGGTGAGTTAATGGCTGTACAGCTTCTGTGTAGAGATAATTCATGTTGTGAAACAGTAGTGTTTGTTCCTTCACTGTTGAGTTTGCAATGGAAGAGTATGTAAGTCTATTTGAACTTGACATTTTTCCTGTCCTGAGCGAGGCCTTAAAAGATGCGTCAATATTTTTGTATTTTGGTGGTAAGCTAATAAAACTGATTGTATCAGTAGATCAAGTGTCAGCTTGGAAATGCAATCTTTAAGATCGTAGTGACTTCAATGTATCCGTGTTGAAAGGCAAACTACCACTTAAGTAATTTTGTCTGCGTATGGACTCTTTTTTAACACAGGGTAAAATATAACTTGAATATTTCAGGTTCAAAAAAGTGCAAACAGGGTTTCCAGGTTGTTTGAACTAGAGCTTTTAATGCATTGTTAAGATACAGTGGCAAGATTTTAATTACTTGGTGAAGGATTCAACTAAGCTTTTGATGATGGGGGAGAAAAGGGGCTAAGAAAGCATGTAGAACTCAGTCTCACACTTTACCAAGTAACTTCTGTTGGATCCAATAAAATTTCTGTTTGGCTAAGCAATACACAAATATTGTACGTGCTAGTATGACATTTGTGATTCTGTTTTAAGGTATAAGCTTTATTTTCTGTTTATATATATTATAGAAATTATGTTTCTGTTTAAAAAATAATAGTCATATTCTGACTCAGAGGTGATCTCTGCAACCCGTACACTAATTCTCTAGAAAAACTATTTCTGAGATAACAACCCTTTTTCCAGCACCTAACTCTGTGTATCACATAGTACAATCCCTAAGTATACAGGAATAAGTTCAACTTGCAAGCGTAATTAAGTGCATATTGCTCCAACCCCAGCATGTACAGTTCTCACAAACATACCATGGAAGAAAGATCTAAATGGGCAGCTTCAGTCCTGAGGCTATTGTAACAAATGAACATGGTTCAGTGTCAAGAGAGAAGGTTTTAAGCCTTTATACATTTTGTTTGCTGATATTAGCATTTGGCCCTGTGGAGCTAAATGTTCCCTGCTACTTTCTTCCCCTTTATGTTTCAATAGCATATTTCCCACTATCTGGCGTTACAGTGAATGTGCTGATTATTCTCAGTCTGAAAGTGTGCCTGTAAATGTACACATCTCTGAGCTACTTTTTGCAACGTGGGCTGACTCAGATATATTTTTAAATATGTCTGAGAAACAGGGATGTCACACTCCATATTTTATTTAATTGGGTGGTATCGGGACTTTCTAGTACTACATTTTTGTTGAATTAAAGCAGGCTTCTGCGAAATCTAGCATTGATTTTATTCATCGATATTTAGCAGGAAGGATAGCTATTGAAATATAAATAGCTCTAGGTATTTGGTGATGGATATTGATCAATATAGCAATAAAAATAGTTGTTTTTTTTTCTCAAGCAGTAGCATTTTCATCAGAATATGCAGCTTAGAAATAGTAGTAATCTTGGGAAAAACCTGTATCAGGAGAGAGATTCAGAAACTTGCTAAACAGTGTGATAAACTTCTTCCTTTCCTGTAAGTGAGGATGATGAGAAATGTAAGCAAGTAGCATCCTAGGTGGATAGCCTATGAGAATTTTAAGATGTTCTGCATATTAGAAACTTGTGATGCACTGATATTTTTCAATAACTTTCTGGAGAAGATTAGTTATGAGTGTTAGTAATCCATTATTACCTTTAACCTAAAGCCTAGCAGCTGGCCCAAAAGCTGTGGTATGCTCAAAGCAAATACAAAGGAACACTTAGAAAACTTGTGGGAACAGTTATCCTCTCATCTGCATGAGGTGCTTGTATCAGTTAGAGCCTCGTTGGTATCATGTTCCATATCTCACTATCTTAATGAGAATAGTGTGCTGTATTTCTAAGAAGGTGTTTCTCTGCATTTAAGATCTCCAGTGCCATCCTTGGACTAGAAAGTCATGCTCCCCATGAGCCTGATTGCAGTTACTCCATTCAAGTTGAATCATTCCTCGTGCTGTAAATATTCCTATTTCAATCAATAAGTGTTTGTGGAGTAAAACATTATTCATTGTAAGACATATGATATAAGACAACAGGTCTGCTGTTAGAGTGTTTTTTATATTTTTAAGGGAATATATTCTCCTATGTTCATTTCCTGTTCTTTGCTCGCACCTGTTGTGTGCATAGAATATTCCTGAAAGACAAGTAATTGCAAGGTTAATATTAGATGTGAGTAGGTAAATGCATACTACTGTTCTATGGTTCTGTGGTTCTATTTACCATCCCATTATCTAATTTCCACATGCACATACAGAGTAAGTGCATATAAAGCTTTGCCAGTGGCAAACTGAGTATTTCAGAATTTGGCTTTGGGTGTACTCTGCGGAATTATGCTACAAGCTTGTATTGCTTCCTCATTCAAGCTCTCAAACACTTGACTCTGCTTTGTTTCACAGGGTAATTCTTCAGAATTACAGACCTAATCATTGTTAATTCTTTTGGTATTTATTGATTGCATTAACATTAATCACAATAAACATCTCTGGTATTAATATGGTTGTCATTTGTATAGTACTTCAGATTGTCTGCTCGTAAATCAGCTATCATTAACTGAACGATTAGTTACAGGATGCTTTTTGTATAAGCAACACCATATCTTTCTTAAGGAAGTGAGGAGAGTGAATACATAAAACTGTTCACTGAGTTTTGAAAGTATTTTCTTTTTTCTTTTTTTTTTTTTTTTTAAAAGGAAAAGAAAACACATAACAAAAGGATAAGTTAAATAAGATTATCTCATACATCTCTTAAAAGCCAATAGCAACTCTGTTATTTGGTTAGCAAAGTTAATGTATCTAATCCTGTTCTGTGTTTTGTTTTTTTTTTGTTTTTTGTTTTTTTTTTTAAGTTGACAAGCTTAAGTTGTTAAGTTGTTTTTTTTAAGTTGACAAGTTTAAGCTTTTTCTTCAGGTTTTCTCTTTATGATACTATCCATGCTATCTATGGAGCTGTTGTGCTAGACAGAAAAGTGCTTATCTACTTGGCAAGTCACGTTAATTTGGTAGCTGGAATTTGCTCTCAAGGTTTCTCAAAAAGTCCAGGAGTTAGCTTCCACTCTGAATACATAATTCACTTCTGGGCAAGGTGAAAGAGGAAATCTTTCAGCTTTCACTCCAAGGCAGCTGAAAGGGAACCTAGAAACCTTATGACTTCATGATTTACTCAACATACAAAATTTTGTCCATGTTTCCCTTGATTGAAAATGTTGTATTTCAGTGCCCAGTGTCTGCATTTCAGCAAAATAGACTGAATGCAGCAAAAATAGGCCCTGTACACTGAACTGCTCTCATCTAGAACTTTACTGTGTTTTCTTACAGCCTGTGACCTCATGAACCAAGGCATCCTGGCCCTTGTGAGCTCCATTGGCTGCACATCAGCAGGTTCCCTGCAGTCACTGGCAGATGCTATGCACATCCCTCACCTCTTCATCCAGCGCTCAACAGGAGGAACGCCAAGAAGCAGCTGTGGGCTCACCAGGAGCAACCGCAATGATGACTATACACTCTCTGTCCGCCCCCCTGTCTACTTAAATGATGTCATCTTGAGAGTGATCACAGAATATGCCTGGCAGAAGTTCATCATTTTTTATGATAATGACTATGGTAAGTAGTTAACTGAGTAATTTCTGTCAAATCCCGAATTCTGTGGAAAGCATTCACGCTATATTTTTATCATCTTCTGCTATGATGTTTTCCCTCTGAACATTTGTGGTTCTGTCAGTATTTCACAGTTCTCGAGAGATTCTAAAGTACGTTGATATTTACAGATTAATTTGATGATTTCTGTGTTAGCTAGCTGATAAACAGAGAAATTCATTTCCTCAAGTGTAAAAAAAACTTAGCAAGTGTCCTTTTTTTTTTTTTTTTTTTTTTGAGTTGATAGTTCAAGGGTTAACATGTAAAATTCCATATTCTGTAGAATTATTTCTTGTGTTGTGAATCTCTCATCTTTTATAGGCTTGCGTTTGATACAAGAAGTTGAGGCAGCAGTGAATATAGGACAGATACCTCAGCAAGAATAAGCTGCTATTTGTAAATGTGAAACTTACAAAGAGAACTTACATAGAACGAAGCTCTTGAGAAGGAGGGCTAGAGAAGACGATATTTCCTTCTTTATTGGTGCACTCAATGTTCCTGAGAAGTGCTGAGTTGACAGTGACTGTGTAATAGAGTAAGCATGACACAAATGATGGCATCAGAAGTCAGACGGTGCCATCCTGCCTGGTGATTCAGCCAAGTTTAGTACAGATATCTTCTGCAACTGAGAGCTAGATAGATAGCTGTAGTAGAGGTGCATTATCTAACGAATTTCATCATCTTTTTCTATGGAAAATTGCTTTGAAACCAGACTTGTTTTGTTCAGACACATCCATTATTCATAAGTAATCATGATTGGTTTGGATGAACATTTTAAAACTTATTTTCAAAGTTAAATGTTCAAGTTGTTGAAAAATGCAAACTTCAGCGATTTGCTGTGCATAATAATAACTGGTTCATTCAGATCAGGTGTTATTGATTTTTTTTGTTCCCTGACTACCCAATAAATTCTTAAATTAGAACTATACAAAATGATGAATAGGAGAATTTCTATTTATAACAAACCAGCACCTGAAAGTGCCAGCCATAGGATCAGGAACATGCACATAAACACTGATCCAAAAAGCTTGCAGCAGAGTAATTTTGTTCACATTTTCTCAGTTTATGCAGCTAAGTACCTGTGTAGTTATGAAGAGGACTATAGTTTTGCCAGCTAAAGAGTGCCTTTTTGCATGTATTTGTTTTAAAAATCAATTTTTAGTGGTTTTTTTTCCATAATTGTATTTATAAATACTATTTTTAAATTATCCAGATCATTTTGTCCTTTGATTTCTGGATAGGAATCTCATTACATAATGAGGATCATGAGAATAATGAGAATCATGAGAATCACATAATGCAGATGCCTGAATAAGCTTCAGATAAGTAGCTATTTCAGTGACACATCAACCCCAGATATGACTCGTGGCAGATATTGTGTTCCCTCATCTTCTATTCTTTCTTAAGTAGACAAGAAATGCTGTGGTGAACTAGACAAATTGGTAAACTGACTCTCATCAGTGATCACTATCTCATGTATCAGGAAAAGATGCAGAAAAAAGCCCTGCATTTAATATGTACTAAGAGGTCTGTCCATCTTTTAACACTATTCTATTCAGGTGATAGCATCAGGCTTGACACAGTATTTTGTGTGTTCTTAATTCTGTTAGCCAGTTTTTAATCTATGTTGTTAGTTTTCCTTTTACCTCTGGTTGCATGATTTTTATAGCAGACCCTAATGAACAATTTTACCAGTAACTTATTATGAATATTGATATGTGTTGTTCTCTCCCCTTTTCCTGCCATTTTCTTGATTTATTCCAAGCACTTCCAGTATGTTAGCAGGACACTATTTCTTCCCAGGTTTTGCGTTGACCAGAGAAGGGTTTGCATGGAGGGCAGGATGGAGAAAGCAAAGGCATTAAAGGCATGAAATGAGGAGTTAGGATCGCTTATTTAATGGATTATAGAGTGAAGAAATCTGAATTCAGTGTCCATCCTGCTTGGAGCTGGAGATAGGACTTAGTTACCTTTAGTAGATCAATCCTGCTCAATTTTTCAGTGATTGTGATGTTTGAGAAAGTAGTTTATTTGGATGAGCCTTTACATGCAAAATAGTAATACTAACTAAATAATAATAAAATAAAATAAAATAAAATAAAAAACTATCAGTTTTAGTTTAATACAAGCAAGTTGGCCTGAGAGCTCCATAGGAGCATAAGGAAGGGGGCATTGGCTTCTGTTCCTGTTTTGGAGTGAAATCGAGACTGGGTGTTCAGCCCCAGGCAAGGCATCCCAGAGTTCAATGCGTCAAAGTGCATCAAAATGTGGTTGCAATTCCCTGTGGAAGCCACTGTTCCCCTTCCTCAACATGCCTGAGAGGATCTGAGGCAGTATTGGACTTATTTATTCTCTCATTTCATACATATCTGGGCTCAAATGCAGATTGGAAGTTTTGCCTTTAACTGATAGCAGCAGTTAATATTAGACATTTTAATGTAACATTTATTATTTAACTTTAAAGTAGGAGGGAGTTCAGCACTTGCATTAGTATTAAATTCATACCTTTTAATAGGGAAGGTATTACTTGTTTAAAGTAAAACACATCATTTGGTCCTCTGAAGAACTCACACCTGCGCAAGAAGAGCTATTTATTACCCCAGTATTTCTTTTTTTTTAACGTGGTGATTTTGTTTTCTCAAGGTAGATATCATATCATGAAGTGATATTTCCATACCACTAAATGACACTTGAAAATTAATAGAAGTATAGATTTTGCTGATAATTTTTTTTCCTTTTTTTTTTTTTCTTTTTTTTTTTTCTGTTGTTGCTACAGAAAATATGGAAAAGCTGTCAGAGTGGTTATGGCAGTAAGAAGAATTTTTATTAAGAAATTACTTTGGTGATTAAATTTAACAATTTAGTACAAAATACTTCAGTTGTATTCCTGAAATCATTTCTGGGAATATTTTTGATATGTGAAAAAAATTGCCTTTTATATTTGCAATAGTTTTTCCAATAATAAAATTAGGCTCATACCCAAGTAAATACTACTAGACCAGGTTCCTTGCACCTTTAAAAGAGGTTGCAACCATTTGTGTGACAATTTATAAATACAATTGTTTTTTAATCCTCTCAGTTGAACTGTTTTTGATTTTTAACTTGCAATCGATCATAGATTCTTTTTCATTATCAGAGAATGAAAGAATTATTTATAGCTGAAAATGTGTCTTTCTGCAGGGCAGAGAGTTATTTGCTGGATGCTATCCTTTTGTAAAAATGACAGATCTCTTTTGAATAGAAGCAGACAAGTATATTCAATTGTAACATTTTAACACTTCTTCCAGCTTAATGCTAGAAGGTTCCGGTCTACTCAAAGTGCCTTTATCAACTGAGAAAGTTACTTTTTGAAGGAAGCTGTTATTTTAGCCACTCTACAGAGATGGGTGTTAAAGAAGGCATGCAGAAATGCATTTCTGGAATAACTGACATAGGAATCTTAACTGCTAGTTATTTTCTCAAGTAAGATTTTTTTTTAGGTTGACTTCTAAAACAAACAAAATGACACACACACCTTGGTAATAGTAATAATAAATGTATTTTATTGTTGTTATAGACGTAGTTAAACTAACCAAAAGAAAGTATCAAACCTTTGTCCTTTGTTGGTGACTGCAATTTACCAGTAACAGCTGAGGCACTGAAGTATGGATAGTGGGTGAAGAGGTGAGAGAAGAGAATTTTTTAACTTAACCAGACTTAGGTGGTATTTGTGTTTCATTTACTGCTTTACCTTTAGTGTATAAACTGAGATGAACTTACAAAATCAGAGTGAGTCTCCTTCCCCTCATTCTTGCTTTCTGCTTGGGATGATCTAAGTCTAACTCCAAGTGAATTTAATGCTGTCAGTCCCCTTTTATTCAGCATGTATTGTTTCTTGAGGTAAAACAAGGTAAAATCCTGCCGAAAACAGGAAACCTGATTTTGTTGAAGGAATCATAGAATCACAAGGTTGGAAACGACCTACAAGATCATCTAGTCCAACTTCATATGAGAATATTAAAAGTGTTTCAGGACAATGCTGTGCTTCTGCAAATGCCATTAAAGATGGCTTTTTTTGCACAGTTCAATAATAGATGGCATGAAATGCAACAAAATTATCCAGTGAATTAAAGCCTTTCTCAGGCTGCTATTAAAAGTACTATTCACACAGTATGTGCAAACCAAATTTACTTTAAGAGGCCGTATCAGCTCCTACTCTTTTTGTTCTTCAGCACTCAGCTGAAGCAGTAGGATCACCATGCTGCAGAGGACAGTTCTGCGTCTTCCTTTAAGCCTCCACTAAGCCTTTGATCTTGTCCTTAGGACTGTCAGCAATTTGTTCAGTGGAGTTACTTCCAGACAGAGAATGCAAATGTAAACAGACCTCTGTGAGTTGCTATGTTCAGGTTAGTGAGAAGAGCTACTGACATATGTAAATATTTTTGAACGAGCTTAACCAAGTTACTGCACCTTTACTTACGAACCTGAACCTGATCTCAGGTTCAAAATGCAGTTTGTAACAGTAAATAATGCAAATCCATACACACTATGGACCAAAATCTGACCATGGCCGGTACTGACAAGAAAAAAAGCCCTTATGCATGTAAGAATCTTAGAATGGTTTGGGCTGGAAGGGATCTTTAAAGACCATCTAGTTCCAAACCTCCTGCTATAGGCAGGGACACCTCCCACTAGATCAGGTTGCCCAAATCCTTAACCCGTTAACCAGTCTGGCCTTAAACATATCCATAGGGGAGACATCTACAGTGTTTCTGGGCAGATGCTACATCAGAGAGGAAAACAAATGAAATAATAATGTGAGATCTGAATGTGAGCACCTAGACTATGTAAGCATCAAAACTGACATAGAACATATGTATATATATACATATATATATAATTATTTTTATTCTATTGTGTAGCAACAAGGTGCAAGCTTTTGCAATTCATGTCTTTCTTTTCAGGCAGTGTACAGCTCACTGTATTTT